AGCTTGTAACACTCCAAAGAGAAAGGAAAAATTGAAATCGCATCATATGACCCCTTTAAATAAACTTGCTTGCGAGGTGAGCGAGGTTGTAGTAATGATGAGCAACAGGTCGTTTACTGGCTAACTCTTTTGGTGAAGTATTTTTAAAGCTCAAAAATAAAGAAATTGATCAAATTCTTTGCAGTGCGTGCAAATCTTTGAAAATATGTATTTTTCTGTGTGCACTTTAAACACTTTTCATCACGAAACCACAAATGTTGCTCTCTTTTCTGCTGTCTTTTTTTACGGGTCTAAATCATTTCCTTGCGAGTTGAAAAGTTTTGCTTGCGAGTGAAGCTGTATCTCAGTGGGCGGTCTCTACCCACCAGGATGAAAGGTCTTTTTCTATTGGTCACTCTCGATTGAAGTGACAGCTTGACCACGCCCACTACGCATTCCCACCACTGCTGCCGCCAGTCTGACAGAAGAGCGAGGTGAGCGAGGTTGTAGCAATGATGAGCAACAGGTCGTTTACTGGCTAACTCTTTTGGTGAATTACTAGGGGTGGGAGAAAAAATTTATCGCAATTTTCTCTTCAATATTCAGAATCGATATGATGCATGCGCTTTATTTGATGACTTGTGGACTGTTCAACTGCAACACCCGCTGACTGCAATGATAGAGCTAGGAATAGCCAGGACAATTTTTAATATAACTCTGACTGGATTCATCTGAAAGAAGAAAATCATATACACCTAGGATGCCTCGAGGGTGAGTAAAACACAAGCCAATTTTCATTTTTGGGTGAACTAACCCTTTAAGAGTTATATCCATTAACATTAATGTGCACATCAAAATTTGTACGTTTCCTAAAATATCAAAGGTTAATATTTTAATAGTTTTGTCTGGATCGGCCGAACAGCCTAGAAGCAATTGGCTAAAACGGTTTATGTAATAAATCTAAATGGCGGACAGACTGGCATGTTTGGATTCAAGGATTAGATTCTCAAGGCTGTGGTATGGGTATCAGATATGAAAAAATGGTATTAAACTATACCTACTTAATTTTGGGTCAAATTACACAACTGTTCTATGAAGGTTTCTATGTGCTAATAAAATAAAATAAGTGCTTACACACCTGCAGTGCTTGGCCTCTAATAATACATTCAACATATCAACGGAACCCAAGTCAACAGCACAGTGGTCCAAACATAATGAGTATGAAAAATATAATGTCCAATCAAGCGTTCTCTGCCATAGTGGTAAAAACAAACTGATGATCCACAGCTTGAGAAACCAAACCTGCGACATTAAATGTCAATGGCAAACCCAGCTGGTCATGGTCACTAAATGCAACCAAATGTTACAGGCACTGAAAGCAAAACTCAGATAAGGTGCAGAGTAAGTCCCACTAGAGCAATTAGAAAAGTCAAAATCTTCAGTGATTGTGCTTCCGTAGACGAGTTTCTTGGTTTTCGAGTTGGTTCTACAGGCTTTTCTGCAAGAAAAAAAAAAAACATATATATACTGTTCCGTAGACGAGTTTCTTGGTTTTCGAGTTGGTTCTACAGGCTTTTGTGCAAGAAAAAAAAAAAACATATATATACTGTATATATATATATATATATATATATATATATATTGTAGAGAGAAGCAATTCTGTCAACTCGTCAGTGTTTTATAAATATGAAATGCTGCAACTATTATTATTATTGCAGTGTGCAATTTAAAACCAAACAAGGATTCCATGTACCTCTGACAACAAGCTGTAGCATCTTTTTCTCATTTAATTTTGGAAAAAAACAAGTGTAGTTTCCTGCATGCGTCAGCTTCAGATCTTTCAGCTCAATTGAGTAGTTTCCCTTTGAATACTCTGAAGGGAAACTTTCTGTACGATTCTTGAACATGTCATCCTGCTTTTCTGTTGAGGGTTTGCCATTTATAATATTTAACACTCTTCTGCTTACATTGTGTCGCCAAAGTACATCAGTACTTCGTTGTTGATTTTCATATAAACATGGCAAGATGACGGAGTCTCCAACAACACTATCAATTTTATCTGCAGAGTTCTGCAGAGACACTGGGGAAAAAAGTAAAAACTTTACTTTAGGAAGCAAACAACAAAAATGCACCAAACATAAAATACATCAATAGTATGTATTTTACACCAAATATCTTAACTGAGGTCTGTAAATACTAACCTTTGCCTGTCAGGTGTAGAAGTAAATAAATCACCCAGCTTCTGCACAAATGAGCAAAAGTAAAGTTAATATTGGTCTTTGATAAACAAAGGCAACTTGCAACAATGCAACAAAAACTATGGTTCTTGTCCACATATATAAACTAAATATTACTACTCAAGAAAAGATTTACATTTCAGACAAATGTGAGTTTTCAATGACAATCATGTACAGATTAGTGCATTAAGCCATACATCACCCTTGTGGTGAACACACACACACACACACACACACACACACACACACACACACACACACACACACACACAGAG